TCGAAAATAATCGATTAAGGGAAAATAACCAATTAATTAAGAAGCCGATTCTACGATAAATCGATTTTCCAAAAAAATAACTGAATTATCGATTATTTTCAAATAATCCTTTTGTTTTCATATTTCATTTAAAATTGATTATTTGATTATCTTTGTAAAATCGAAAATAATCGATTAATAAAAAGCTGATTGTCCGATAAATCGATAATTCTAAAAAATAACCGAAATATCTATTATATAAAATAACCGATTATATTCGATCAATCGATTATTTTCATATAATCTATTTTTTCGCATTTCTTTTAAAACAAATTATTCGAATACCTTTGAAAAATTGAGAATAATCGATTAATCGAAAATATTCGGTTAATCGAAAATAACCGATTAAGCGAAAATAACCAATTAATTAAGAAGCCGATTCTACGATAAATCGATTTAAAAAAAATAACTGAATTATTGATTATTTACAAATAATCCTTTTACCTTTTTCATGTTCCTTTTAAAATTGATTATTTAATTTTCTTTAAAAAATCGAAAATATTCGATTAATAAAAAGCTGATTGACCGATAAATCAATAATTCTAAAAATAACCGAAATATCAATTATATAATATAACCGATTATATTCGATCAATGGATTATATTTTTATATAATCTATTTTTTGTATTTTAAAACAAATTATTCGAATACCTTTGAAAAATAAAAAATATTCGATTAATCGAAAATAATCGATTAATCGAAAATATTCGGTAAATCGAAAACAATCGATTAATTTAAAAAGTCGATTAAACAATAAATCGATTTTTCTAAAAAAAAAAAACGATTATTTTCAATAAATCGAATATTTTTAATAAATCTACTCTCTTTTTGTAATCCCTTTATAATCGATTATTCCATTACTTAAAAAAACGAAAACAATTTATTGAAAATGTTCGATTAATCAAAAATAATCGATTAAAAATAATCGATTAATTATAACGGGTAAATCGATTTTCATGAAAACGATAAATCGATTATCGGTCGCATGCTTTTATCCGAGCATTTAGCTTCAAAATTTAGAGATTCGGATTTATTGATCCTGTTATCTTTGAAACCACAATCGATTGTATAATAAATATTGCTAGAATTTAATTTTTTTAGTAAACGAAGATTTTTTTCGAGTTGTTTAGGGGTTTATAATGTAACATTTTACTCATAATATGACTAATTTCCGTAACTTTAGTATTTTTTTGCTTATACTAGATCATATTGCGCATTTAACTTTGTTTTAAGACTTAAGATTCAAATGTCACTTCCGATTTAACCGCAAATAAAATGAACCTTGAAATTTTAAGTAGGTGAACCTGTATTTCATTTAATATTCTTGTAATAATAAAGGGCTAAAAACCACCTTTAGTAAATATTCTTATAAAACTACTTTTTAAAAACAAAATTTCGTTAGTAAAAATGCCTATTTACTTCTTATTAAATGTTTAAAATTGTAGTCTTTTGTAAATTAATGCATTATGAAATCTATTTTCTGAAATATTATGTATTTGATGCTTAATATTTATTGAAACCCCTTAATGCGGATCTGAAGTATTCAGCTCTAAAGAATCATGGCGACTTTATGTCAAAACGTCAACAAATATTTACCGCTGAAAACGAATATATTTCTTATTTTTCATAACATTGACACTTATATTATTTGTATATACAATTTTTCACCATACATCGTGGCATTTTCAACTTGAAATTGAATAACTAAAACACTTTAAATTGCTAATAACACGAACAAATAATTCAAAAAACGGCGGTCCATAAATGATTTACTCACGCGGAGACAAGCATAGAATAGAAATTTCGGAGCAATTCGGGTGGCGTCGTAAACACAATGATTTTTAATTGGTGGGTTACTTAGGGTTGGAATAGACAACGTGCGCGATGTACAATGTTACATCACAGCTTATACAATACAGCTAAAACACTCTCTTGGCGGCAACGGTTTGCGTCGATTTCGTTGCGCATCGCTTAAGCTCCGCCTTCGAAGGGAAAAGACGGTTTTGGTGTTCAGAAGCGTACTTAGGTAAGGTGTTGAGTCGTGCGTATAATTTCGTGGAGCCTATAATTTCGTTGATTGTATAATTTCGTGGAGCCTATAATTTCGTTGATTTTGTTTGAGTTAAAGGTACTGTTATTATTTTGGTGACTCTTTAGCTATGAGAAGAATGATTGAAAAAAAAAGACATCATTCTGTTTGTGCAGTCAAAAGCTGTTTTAATAAGGGTTATACCTGCAAGAAAACATTCTTTAGTTTTCCCAAGGACCCAAACCGATAAGTACCACATTATAAGAAATTTTCATTGTTAAAAATATAATTTATACAGGGTATCCCATTAGTGCGTTATTGTTCATTATTTTGTTGTAGACCCGCAAGAAAGTTTTAAATAAAAGTTATATGGATTTTAAAAATACCTACATATTTTAAAAATATCTTTGGATATACAGGGTGTCACGTTTTTGCCTGGCAAATTAAAATGTATGTTTTTTAAATGGAACACCTTGTATTTTATTTTATGATAAAATTATTAACTCCCTAAATTATTGTAAAGACGAATGGATACAGAAAAATTTTATCAGGTATGTGTGTGGTTACCTTTTAATAAAAGCCTTGCGGATCCACTCCTCTGCGATACCTGTCTTAAATATAACAAAGATCACGTTGAATTAGATGATTTTTCTTTTTATTGCTTTTTAAAGGCATATGATAACGCCAATCCAGATACATTTGGAAATCTGCAACTGTCAAATGATGAATTTGTAGAACTAATATTCAATATTGAAAAGATATTTCAAAATAATTTTGAAGAATTGGCTACAAAAAATAACATTTGTACCACACTTTTAGAATTAATTAACCCAATACCCTTTAGTCATCCATGCTAACGTTTTCCAAAAGAATAACTTATTTTATTGTATGTTTAATCTCAATAACTAAAAAATATACTGACAATTAGTTTGACAGAATTGTCATTTATTTAAAATTTTAAAAATAATAGCAGTCGGTTGATCAAAATATGAACGGTGATTGGCGAATTTTTTTTTTTTTTGCAGTGTTCTCACTACCTAGAATGGATATGAAATATATTCGTTCAATTGAAGGCAATAGCATACTTTTTCGTTTTGTAATCTGTGCATGGATATTAGCCAATCTATGCACACACTACAAAACGAAAAAGTATGTTATTGCGTTCAACTACGAATATATTTCATATCCATTTTAGGTAGTGAGAACACTTTAACAAAATTAAATCTACAAATCACAGTTCATATTTTGGTCATCCAACTCCTATTATTTAAATTTTTTTAAATAAGTGACAATTCTGTTAAACTAATTGTCAATATATATTTTAGTTATTGATATTAAATATACATTAAAATTTTTGTGTAGACTCGATAAATAATAGCATTTTTGTTTTTATTGTGTCCACATTTAAAAAAAAATAAATTTTAATCAAACTACATGATACTAATTTAATTACGAGTATTAAAACTAAAGTCCTGAAAGTTTCGGTGAAGATGAAGACAGAGTATCTGCCTTCCACGCGAAAAGCCCGGGATCGAATCTAGGCCGAGGACTAATTAATTTTTCATGTTTATTTTATTTTATAAATTAGTCAACTTCGTAAATTATTTTAAAATTAGTTATTTTGTCTAAATAACCTAAAATAATTTTTTAAATTTGTAGATTTTCGTTAGTGGGTCGTAGAAAAAATATACTGACCATATCGAGTGGATTGTTCATATCACAATCAGACGATTGAGTACTCCGCCTACGACGTCGTGCTCAAACTTCGTCTTTGTGTGATATTGCTATCATATCCACCCTTGTTGAACAAACTATAATTTATTTGTTTTCTTGGTTTAAACCAAAACTTAAGTTTTACATCAGAAATAGGAACTAAATTAATTTACTTTTCAAGTTTTCTTGTAAAAATCGATATTACTTTCTCCACGTACAAATTTAGTACCTACCTACAATAAGTACCTACAAATTATGTAATTTCGTGTAATATTGTAATTCAAATTTCACATTACTATAAAGTTTCAAAATTCCCTACTTCGGTATGGTCAGATAAAAATTGAATATATTATATTAATAAAAACTGTCAAAGTATTACTTCTACAAATCTGTATTTCAATTAATAAGAATACATCTAAATATAACCAATATTGTTAAAATAAAAGCACAAATTCTTTATAATTCCAAAATACCATAGAGTACCCAGACCTCAGTCGAAGCATTCGTTTATCTAGGTATAAACCCTTTGCGCGAAGAGAAACACTTGCCAGAGACACGGGGTACCACTTGATTTGCATCCACGAGCGTGACACAATTTTTTAACAATTGAAGCCCTTGGTGTAAAAAGGATCCAAGCCACAATTTGTCGTGAAGTGACTGTTTTAGCTCAAAACATTTGTTAACGAGGATTTTACTAGCCACATACAAATTATTTTACCTCTAATCCGAAAGATGTGCTATTTTTCGTAATATTTATATTTAAATAATGTTTCTAATTATATTTGACAGATTTAAAACAAATTAAAAATTTAATTTCCCAAAACTTACTTAATATGGCATGTAACCAACCTTATTACGCCAAGGTTTTCAATTTTTTCAATAATAAAAAAATTGTTTAATCCGGGCCCGACTTTTCCCTTTAATCTAACAGAGATAGCACCATTCCGTCTTGCTTGGTTCTCGACCGCCAGATCAAAGACGCCGACACGGAGTTGTGGAGCTGTATTGTATAAGCTGTGGTTACATCTCCGGTCTTTTTTATCTAAGTAAAATAGTGAACCGCGAAAACAGCCTTAATAATTCGTAGGGGGATTTTTGAGATTTATTCCAGAATTTTCCAAATTATCCTACATTAAAAAAACGTTGCACCAAATCTGTTATTACCGTCTAGTCTATAATATTCATAATTGTTTTATTTTGTATAACATTATTTTTTAGTCGTTCTACCGATTTTGAGGTCCATAGAAATTGGCTAGCTATAACACACAGTTTACCACCAAATAAATGGTATTTCGAAGATACTTCACAATGGACCCTGGATTATCCACCGCTGTTCGCTTGGTTTGAATATATCTTATCTTTTGTAGCTGTGTTGTTTGATCCAAAAATGCTCAACATTAACCATTTAAATTACTCGTCAAATAATACTGTTTTATTCCAAAGACTTTCAGTTATAATTACGGATTTAATTTACGCTTTAGGCGTCTTCATGTAAGTACAAAATTACAATATTCTTATTTGTTCACATATGTATCAAATAGTCGAGAAGTAATGAAGTACTAAAAAGGCCAAAAGTTCGGAATTTTTAGACTATTCGCTTCCAAACATTTTTGGAAAAAAAGTCCCTATTTTTTATCTTATACAAACCGGAAATTGCACTGCTGCAGCCAAACATGCATTTTTTAAGACGGCTTTTGAAAGATTAAAGAATTTTGTAAATAAGAGTCAGAAGTGGACCAGTTCTGACTTTTATTTACTGTTTAAAAACTTTTGTTTATATTTGTTTTATCAGTGTAGATGCAATTTGATTATTCTTTGTGACATAATATAACATAATTATTAAAAAGAATGTCGCCAAGTCAAGATTTATACAGTCCACTTACAATTATTATTTAACTATTTGAACCAGCAGTTTACAGTTTAAACATTTTTTCCAAAAAATTTCTGGAAGTGAATGCAAAACCGCATTCCGATCTTAGTCTAAAAAATTCCGAACTTTTTTTGCTTCAATGCTTCGACTAAAATTGTTTGTAGGTGTTGCAAGTCTTTACAAAAAAGTTGGGGTAAAGAAGTGGTTTTACCAATACTTTTAATAACTAATTGTGGACTGTTAATAGTAGATCATATACATTTTCAATATAATGGTATAATGTATGGTATTTTATTAATTTCCATCGCATACATGCTGCAGGTAATTTTTAATAAATACAAGTCTGTCAATAGTATGATAAAGTTTTTATTGTTTTAGGCAAAATATTTGCAATCCGCTTTTTGGTTTACAATTCTACTGAATATGAAACATATTTACATATACTTGGCACCTGCTTACTTTATTTATCTTCTAAGGCACTACTGTTTACAAGGATCATTGCAAATGAATAAAATTTTTTCCTTTGGTAAACTGAAAAATTTTATAACACTGGGATCATTAGTTTTGAGTATATTTCTTATAACGTTCCTACCTTTTTATGACCACATTCCACAAGTAAGATTACTTAAAATTTATATCCCTATATTCCCTATACTCAAATAATTTTTAAATGATGGAACTGTGGACAACCGGCAACAATATAGCTCTATTATGATTTTCAGAGCTCAACTTACCGGGATTATTTTGTTTATGCTGTTCGCAAACTTGTTAATTACTCTTTTTTGACGAACATATGCCTATCAAGACTACTAGAACAACTAAAGGAGACGAAGAGTCATGATTAAAATGATAAGATTATCCATAAAATTTATTTTATGTATATTTTAGAATGTTTTAAATATTTTCTGTGAAATGTAGATGAGATACTTGCAATTTTTTGGCAGTTCTGCATCTCTACTGCACTTATGCAAAAACCGCCAGCGTTTATTAGTGACAAACAGAAAGAACACAAAAAATAATAATAGAATACGAAACAACAGTAACAAAACAAAACAGTTTCAAAATTACAAAACGTTAATTGAAACTATTAAAAAGTACGTGTGGCACTCGGGGGCTGCCGCGGTAAAGCTATTGCATAGCATTTTTTATCAACTTATGCAATTATAATTATTTATTTATTTTATTTATGCAGTATTTTTTTTCTTTGATATTAATTCAAGTTTTTTCTTAGATAATAATTCAAGTTACACTTTTTGAGCGTGGTGACCGATAAGAAAACAATTTTTTTTCTTTTATTGAATAAATGAGAAGTTAATATTGTTTAACGCCGCACCGCTGTGCCGGTCGGAGTGGGGGGTGTTAGGTTTTTTTTTTTTTCGTTATGGTTTCGTTTTTTTCTTGATTCGGTCGCCGCGATTAAACGAACTTATCAAGTGAAGTTTGATCATAATTATTTGAAGGTCTTGTTCCGAATAGATCACCCTGTAGTATACTCATTAGTCGCTATACGTCACATTATATCAAAAGAAATCACCTCCATTTCACACCCATCCTCGCATCATACGATACCCAACGATCTCATTACTTTTAAAGCTCATTCTTGCAACTCGGAATAGATCACGGCTATCCATTTTAGTATGTTACTTATACTAAGAGACATAGAAAACAACACCCAGTATTAATGAATTTATTACAAAGAATTTCTAGGAATATGTTTGTTTAAGTTAGAATAAAAAACTATTTTTTTTTTGGACAAATTTTTTTTTGGTTAAAATTTTTTTTGGTCAAAATTTTTTTGGTCCAAATTTTTTTCCAAATTTTATTTGTTTAAATTTTTTTTTTTGGTCAAAATTTTTCTTGGTAAAAATTTTTTTTGGTCAAAATTATTTTGGTCCAAATTTTTTTGTTCCAAATTTTATTTGTTTAAATTTTTTTTTATTTTTTTTTTGGTCAAAATTTTTTTTGGCCCAATTTTTTTTGTTCCAAATTTTTTTGGTCCAAATTTTTTGGTCCAAATTTTTGTGGTCCAAATTTTTTTGGTCCAAATTTTTTTATCCAAATTTTTTTTGTCCAAATTTGTTTGGTCCAAATTTTTTTGGTCCAAATTTTTTTTTGTCCAAATTATTTTGGTTTAAATTTTTTTGGTCCAAATTTTATTTGTTTATATTTTTTTGGTCCAAATTTTTATTGTTCCAAATTTTTTAGGTCCAAATTTTTTAGGTCCAAATTTTTTTGGTCCAAATTTTTTTGGTTAATTTTTTTTTGGTTCAAATTTTTTTCCAAATTTTTTTGTTCCAAATTTTTTTGGTTTAAATTTTTTTGGTTTAAATTTTTTTGGTCAAAATTTTATTTGTTTAAAATTTTTTTATTTTTTTTTTGGTCAAAATTTTTTTGGTCCAAATTTTTTTGGTCTTTTGGTCCAAATTTTTCTTGGTCAAAATTTTTTTTGGTCAAAATTTTTTTGGTCCAAATCTTTTTGGTACAAATATTTTTGGTCCAAATTTTTTTGTTCCAATTTTTTTTCAAAATTTTTTTGGTCCAAATTTTATTTAAATTTTTGATCCAAATTTTTTTCCAAATTTTTTTGGTCAAAATTTTTTTGGTCAAAATTTTTTTGGTCCAAATCTTTTTGGTACAAATTTTTTTGGTCAAAATTTTTTTGGTCCAAATTTTTTTGGTCCAAATTTTTTGGTCCAAATTTTTTTGGTCCAAATCTTTTTGGTCCAAATCTTTTTGTTCCAAATTTTTTTGGTCCAAATTTTTTTGGTCCAAATTTTTTTGGTTCATTTTTTTTGTTTTTTTTTTGTACAAATTTTTTTGGTTCAAATTTTTTTGTTCTAAATTTTTGTTCCAAATTTTTTTGGTCCAAATTTTTTTGGTCCAAATCTTTTTGTTCCAAATTTTTTTGGTCCAATTTTTTTTGGTCCATATTTTTTAGGTCCAAATTTTTTTGGTCCAAATTTTTTTGGTACAAATTTTTTTGGTTCATTTTTTTTGGTTCAATTTTTTTTGGTTCAATTTTTTTTGGTTCAATTTGTTTTGGTTCAAATTTTTTTGTTCCAAATTTTTTTGGTCTAAATTTTTTAGGTCCAAATTTTTTTGGTCCAAATTTTTTTGGTCAAAATTTTTGTTCCAAATTTTTTTGGTCCAAATTTTATTTTAAATTTTTTTTTATTTTCTTTTGGTCAAAATTTTTCTTGGTCAAAATTTTTTTGGTCCAAATTTTATTTAAATTTTTGATCCAAATTTTTTTCCAATTTTTTTTGGTCAAAATTTTTTTGGTCCAAATCTTTTTGGTACAAATTTTTTTGGTCAAAATTTTTTTGGTCCAAATTTTTTTGGTCCAAATTTTTTGGTCCAAATTTTTTGGTCCAAATTTTTTTGGTCCAAATCTTTTTGGTCCAAATTTTTTTGGTTCATTTTTTTTGTTTTTTTTTTTTGTACAAATTTTTTTGGTTAAAATTTTTTTGTTCTAAATTTTTGTTCCAAATTTTTTTTGACCAATTTTTTTTGATCCAAATTTTTTTGGTCCAAATCTTTTTGTTCCAAATTTTTTTGGTCCAAATTTTTTTGGTCCATATTTTTTAGGTCCAAATTTTTTTGGTCCAAATTTTTTTGGTACAAATTTTTTTGGTTCATTTTTTTTTGGTTCAAATTTTTTTGGTTCAAATTTTTTTGTTCCAAATTTTTTTGGTCTAAATTTTTTAGGTCCAAATTTTTTTGGTCCAAATTTTTTTGGTCCAAATTTTTTTGGTCCAAATTTTTTTGGTCCAAATCTTTTTGGTCCAAATTATTTTGGTCCAAATTTTTTGGTCTAAATTTTTTTGGTCCAAATTTTTTTTATTCCAAATTTTTTTTATTCCAAATTTTTTTCCAAATTTTTTTCCAAATTTTTTTCCAAATTTTTTTGGTCCAAATTTTTTTGGTCCAAATTTTTTTGGTCCAAATTTTTTTGTTTCAAATTTTTTTGTTTCAAATTTTTTTGGTCTAAATTTTTTGGTCCAAATTTTTTTGGTCCAAATCTTTTTGGTCCAAATTTATGGGAAGCCGTTTTTATATTTTATGGAATATATCTGTTATTTATTTTTGGAGAAGAAAATTGTTCAAATAAAAGTTACTTATAATATTATTATTTATAATTTTTGTTTTATGTTAAAATTTCCTGAAATGGTTCGTATCCGAGAAATTTGACAAAATGTGCAAAATTCTGATTTTTATGAAAATTGTTGAACTAAAAGTTGTTTGCGATATCGATTTATACATGATTTTTCTAAAATGGACCGTAATGGAAAAGTGCTAAATTTAAATTTTTCAGTATTTTCGTTTTCAATGAATGTCTATAGAAAAATGTTTCGAGGTAGATGTATGTGTAAAATGTATATATTTAGTTTATCCTCTAAACATTTATAGAGATGCTGCAATAGGTTGTACAAAATAACCGGAAAAAGCCTATAAAAACTAGATAGGAAAGTCATGTGTTGGACACATCAGATTTTTAGGTTTAAGATCAATCTACACGATCCGTCTGGTTTAGGCGCTAAAAATATCCTGGATATAAATTGATTTTTCGTTTATTGCCTCCCATTATTGTCGAATTTATGATTATGATTCAATGCACCGTTTTTACACAATACGTTTTTATTGGTCGCGACAGCATAGCACCAAAATGAGTAATGAGATCGTTGGGTATCGTATGATGCGAGGATGGGTGTGAAATGGAGTGGATTTCTTTAAATATGGTGTGACGTATAGCGACTAATGAGTATACTACAGGGTGATCTAGAAGAAACAAGACCGAAAAATAATTATTAAACACTAAACCCTATTTGTTTCATAAACAAAAGTTATTAAAAATAAATACATTGTTGCCGGCCGCCCATAATCATTCGATGAGTCACCATCATTTAAAAATTGTATTACTATACTTAAAGTTTTGTTTTATTTTGATTTAAATTAATAAATCTTTGTAGGTTCTCTCTAGATTATTTCCCTTTAAAAGAGGTCTGTGCCACGCTTACTGGGCGCCTAATGTATGGGCACTTTATAATATTTTCGATAAAACTGGTTTTTTTATAGGTAAGTTAACTCTGTATTGCAAGAATTAAACTTTGACGGTTTTGCATTGTATTAAAAAAAATTAATTTAAATATTTTTAGCTCAAAAATTAAACAAACATTTGGTGAAAAACATGACAGCATCAATGACAGGAGGTCTAGTACAAGAATTTTCATATTCTCTATTGCCAAACGTTACACCAGCAACTACTATGATACTAACAGCTTTATTTATGTTACCAGCGTTGGTAAAATTGTTTCTATTAAACAAACCAATCCATTTCTTGAGATGTATGGTATTGTGTGGTTTGACTGCTTTTTTGTTTGGTTGGCATGTACACGAGAAAGCTATTATTATGGTTATTATACCATTAAGGTAAGACATTTAACTTTAAAATAACTCGGAGGTAAAAACACTTTTTAAAACATCGGTTTGTGTATGTTTTCTACATTTTGAATGGCTTACAAAAATCTTCAGTTCTGTTTAATGACAAATTTAGTATTTTTAAACTGCAGTACCTTAAATAAGTAGAAAAATGTGTACTTTACCTTCAGGCTACATAATTGTACAGAATCCCTATTCTCGAATCAGTTCTCAAAGATTTCGTAGGAACGGTCATGTAAAAGCACCAATAATTGACACTATAAAGATGATAATTTACTAAAACATTTATTGAAAAATAGGATTATAACAAATCAACCATCTACATCTAGAGAAGTGTTAAATTCTTATTTTATTCTTTCTTCACACAGAAAAATCTTTGGTGTTGGTAGTACCGCATTTATTTGATAAAGATTAATTGTACTGACATCAGTTTCATTCAGTTTATTTGGAGTTTTGGCATCATTACAACATTCAAGACCAACAATTTCCACTTCACTATCTGACAGTATCTTTTGCACTAAACTCAAACAAATAATGATTGAGAGTGAACCGTGTTGTCATATCTCAATTTTACCTTACTAGTTTTTAGCAGAATCAAAATAGAGTAAGTAGTAGAGTTGTAAGTTGTGGCAAATTATAGATAATATACAATCATAGTACTAATAAAAGATATTAATTATAACAAAAATCAGTAATGAGTAATACTTATACATTTCTTGATCATTTAAAATTAATTATTTTATGGATTGTTCAGTATTTGTTACAACTAATGGCATCGGTGTACGGAGCGATATTTGTGTCTTTGTCTGTTACGCGTAAAATCCATCTCGTCGATGACGTTCTCAGTAGTGTATTTCTAACCACGAGCGTAACATCGGGTTTTGAATTATACGGTGTGAATTGTAAGTTTTACAGTTAAGTTAGTAAGTAATCGACGTGTTGTAAGAACAATTGGTGAAAATATTAGTGCTAATAAGTGTTTAAACATTAAATAATAATATTTCTGCATCGTTCTAAAACTATGCAAAAAAATGGAAGACATTGAAGGGCCTTCAACGTCGAAAAAGGTAAAACGGTCGAAGTCTCGGTCGCTAAGTGAAAAACAAATTGTACTTCGAGTATTTCACTGTCTTGAAAGAGATCATCAGCGACCAAAAGATAACTTAGTGCATATGTGCTGTAATTCTACGGATGTACCTCCGAATAACCAACCGGGCGTTCCAACATCATTAATTTCCACAATTACAAAAGATAAATTAGTTGATATGTGCTCTGATTATACGGGTGTACCAAAATCATCAGTTTACAAAATACTAAAAGAAAACAAAATTCATGGGGAAGTACAAACGCCAAAAACTAGTAGCTGAAGAAAAAAAATCACAGTTGATGAAGAAGCCAAAAACAGTATACGCACAACTATTCACAGTTTCTTTTTCAGAAATGAGCTGCCCACTTTGCAAAAAGTTCTGGAGGCAGTTAGCGATCGTGAATTGGTCCCACAAATGAGTAAAGAAACTTTGAGGAAAATTTTACACGAAATGAAATTTACGTACGGAAAAGTCGACAGGAAAAGCATTCTCATTGAACGTCAGGAAATAATAGTATGGAGAAGAAATTATCTCCGAAAAATTGAGGAATTTCGGGATATCAAAAAAAAATTTACTACATGGATGAGACGTGGGTTAACCAAGGACATACGGTCAAAAAAGTATGGCAGGATGGTCATATAATAAGTGCACGACAAGCCTTTATTGAAGGCTTGTCAACTGGGTTAAAACAGCCGTCTGGAAAAGGTAGTCGTCTGATAGTTACGCATATAGGAAGCGACAGTGGATTTTTACCAAATGGTGAATTAATATTTAAATCCAAGAAAACAGGCGACTATCATGAAGAGATGAATGCGGAGGTGTTTGAAAAATGGTTTGAAGGCATCATTCAACTTGTGGAACCTGGGTCTGTCGTCGTCATGGACAATGCCCCATATCATATTCGGTATTTAGAATCATTACCGAAACAATCATGGAAAAAACGAGCAATTCAAGAATGGTTAATTAATAGAAACATCCAATATAAAAAAGATAGTTTAAAGGCAGAACTACTTCAGTTAACAAAATTACACAGAGACAAATATAAAAAATTCGCAGTGGATGAAATGGCGTTAAGTCGTGGAATTACAGTATTAAGGTTACTACCGTACCACTGCGAATTAAACCCAATAGAATTAATCTGGGCGCAAGTAAAAGGATATGTGGCACGAGAAAACAGAACATTTAAATTAGTGGACGTGCAACGTTACCTACAAGAAGCCATTCAAAATGTTTCTGCAGAAGACTGGAAGAAATGCATTCAGCATGTTTTAAAAGAAGAGCAAAAAATGTGGGACGTAGACAACCGTATTGAACACAATATTGAACCAGTCATAATTAACTTTGATGATAGCGGTAGCAGCAGTGACGAATCTGAGGTTGAAGATTAGAAGAAAACTTTGTACACAAAAAGAAGTCTATATATTTAGGTATAATTTTTATTTTTACCATTCACTATTACCATTTAGAAATTATTATATAAATTTGTATTTTAAATTCCTGTACACAGACATTAACAATGTCTCAGCAGGATACAAATGTTTATTTATTTAATTATTATTATTGTATCAATTTATACATTGTTACATAAATTTGAAATAAACATTATTATTATTATTATTATTATGTTTGGCGGTCAAGAAAACATAATTCTGTAGGTTATATCCAAACTAATTATCTTACTTAGGGATTTCCGAAATGATAGGTGCGTGTAAACTTTTATGATTTAAGTACCAATCAAATAGTAATTTAAGCTTTATAATGTCTTTTAATGTTGGCCGAACCCAATTAGGGTTTCTTGGGTAAGGCTGGCTAGTTTCGAGGAACTGCAGGTAAACCGGGAGATATATATATATATATATATATATATATATATATATAGAGGTATGTTTTATTGTCATTGAAAAATTACAAAATTTTTATAGACAAAGCGAAGTAAATTAAAAAATAAATATAATATAAAAAGATTAAAAAATATAAAAATTTAAAAATAACTAAACAAAACAAAATAAAAATATCAATTGCATTGGATATGCAATATCCGTCATTATGATTTTAATTTAAAATTTAAGTAATACTTCTGTATGTGTAACCCAAGAAGAAACTTAAGAGACAGTTCCTTACTGACTTCGGCCGCGACATAATATATAAATATACGTTAATTTGTGAAATAAAGTTAAATTCATTATTAAAATAGTAAAATTGATAATATTGTTTCTTTTACCAAACCAACCCCTGATTAGGTATTTTTCTTATTTTTAATTTGAAATATATATTGTGATTTTGATTAATATTCTTAATTTATTTGGTTCCTACTATAATTACCACAATTATTACTCCGTTTTCATAAAGCCCCACTAATGACTACAACGATTAGGTAAATTACGATATTGCAAAGTTTTCATGAAATAAATAAAAGAAATTGTATGAATATTTTAAATAATTGTACCCTCTCAAAAATTTCTACCTGCTTTCACTCTCAATCATTATTTGTTTGAGTATATATAGACATATTTATGTTGTTTATTTTTCCCTGGGAATACCACCAAGATATATTATATAAGTTAGGATATTCAAAACAGTGGCGGCTCGTGGTAAAAGTTTTAGGGTGTTCTGCAATTTTTACAAAAAAAAGCTTACCTTTCAGGGGGGTTGTCTTCTAAGTCAAAGTCCCATCGATTTTATCGTGCTTGTTGAATGATGGATTGCTGGAACGATTGCCACACAAAAAAAAAAGAAACACCAAGCAATATTTTACGGTACTCTATTTTCTTCAAGCAAACTACAAAATGTTTAAAAAAAAATAACGTGAACAATTTAAACAGATTCTATTTATTTATAAATTAAGTCTATCCTACGTTCTTTTCGGTTCGCAAATTTTGTAATAATTTTTTCATTAAAATTGTCGTTATACTTACGCGGGTTTCGGATTAAAAATTTTATGAGTATTTCCAGGTAAGTACCCGAAAGTTTGACCTGTTCTTTGGGGAAATATCAACTGGTTAAATGAAATGAAAAATAATGTACAACTTTTTAATTAAATAATAATGGAGAATCTTTTGTATAATTGGAAGCAGAATTAAACTTCTTCATTAATGGAATCTAATGTGGCTATTATAAACCTAATAATAATTTCATATTACACTTCACACAGAAAATATGGTCTATATATAATAAGAGGGTTATTTAGTTCAAATAAAATATTTTCTAACATAAAAATTTGTTCCATGTAGAGAATTTCAAATGAAAAATAAAAAAATTGAACTTGCCAACAAAAATGAAAATCCAAAATATCATAATCATCATCATCAGCACTGTCATCACCATTAATTGTTATTATGATTTAACTGTTTTCGTTTATTTTATTTTCACGAGTCCACCAATCTTCTATTAGTTTCTCGCACTTGGATATACAGTTCAGCCACACTTCTGGAGTTGCAATTGAAAGTGCTTTTCGCCAAGTTTCCCGAACTACGTCGTCACTATAACCATTAGGCCCAATGTGGTTGTCATAATATTGTTTTGCTATTCCCCATATATATTCGATGGGATTAAACTGGCAATGATACGGTGGCAGACGTAAAACTTGATGACCGTAACTTTCAATAATCTGATCCACAACAAAGGTTTTTGGTTTTGCGTAATAATTCTGATTTTAATATATATTGAGGAAATGGTATATGTTCCTTTGTCAACCATTCTTTAATTGTATCAACAGTCCAAGAATTCGTTGGACTTTTGTTTACTACTTCAGAATGGTAAGGTGCATTGTCTAAAATAATTACGCTGGGCTCACTTAAACCTGGGAGAAGTTTTTCATGCAACTATTTTACAAACATTTCTGTGTTCATATTATCGTGATAGTCACTGGATTTTGATTTAGATGAAAATATTAAATCAGCACCT